ACAGAATGTTAAAAACAATGAAAAGTGTGCACTGTAGCCCCTTCCTCAGCTTTTCATAATGTATTTTTTCCACTTCTGGTGAACTCTGCTGTTCCTTATTTCGGCCCACTTTTCAACCAATCAGCATTTAACTGATGCACAGTGTCTTCCACATGGGGCACTGCACAGTTGAGATTTTGTTCAATTGCAATGGTGGTTTAAAAACCCGTCTCCAGAGGCAAATACTGACACAACCTTGGTCGCATACCGTAATTTAAGCATAAGGCAGATTTCTTCTACTTGGGTGCCCCTCGCAAACAGAAGCTTTGAACAGCAGGTGGAGCTTTTACATCGGAAGTCAGATTTTGGAGCTGCGAGTGATTTCGTACCAAGTAAACCCCATGGCAGGCTTCCAGGCAGTGTGTGGAGTATAACATAATGATTATTCATTTATTTACTGTGCTTAAAAATGGCACCTCAGCACAGAGAGCCTGGTCAGTACCACGTGTATGGTTTATTTAGCAGTCACAAATACAGAACACTGGTTGTAAAGATTACAAGTTCTCACCGCTGCCACCTCAGATTACAAAGGTAGGGTTGGTGTGATGTCTCTGACTTTTTACGTGGGAAGTCCAACTTGATTCAGGGTTTTAGCTGAAAATTCCAGCTGCAAACTTGAAATTTCCAACTTCTCACTGAAAATGGAATACAGCACGTATCCACGAGATGACCATTTTAAGGGTGTCTTTACTGTCTGATATGAGTTGAATGCAAGAGTAGTAAAGAAGTGTTTGAAACTGAGCGTTTAGTGTAGTCTGAAGTCTAAATGTTTAGTTTGCAGGGATTACTTGTTCATATGCTTACCTCATCCAAACTTTGACTGTTTAAATATGAGAATTAATACAACAGAAAATATGGCACGGAATAGGTCCACTTTAATGTGACTGAGAATGAAGAAACCCAGGTTAGAGTAACATTTGTGAAGACACTTAGCAGCACTCTGAAGTTTATTTAATGCACAAAATGAGTTGCGGTTCTTCATTTGCATCTGCATCAAATATCTCCAAAATGCATGAGAACCCTGCCTTCTCTAACACCTGTAACAAGTAGAGTGTATGTAATAAAGAAGATGAGCAGCACATCTGAAGCCTCAATCTGAGATTTTGACTGTCATCATTTTCATCTTCAAACTGAAGGAGGGTGGATGTGTGTTCATGCAGGAGTGATTGCAAGTTAGGCATTCCCTGATTCATCATCTTTCTCTTTTTTTAAATCCTACTTGGTGCCGTAATTGATAAAATCAATGCCATGCTGCAGTAAATAGGACTTAAAACTGCTGACTGAGATGATAAATTCATTAGGAAGGCTCATAAATTTAGTGAGAACCCATTTGTCTAATGTCGTCTTACAAACAGGATTTCCCATTAGGAGAAAAAAATGTAGTTTTACTTCACTCTTTAGACCTATAGGCTATGTTGAATCTTTATATACAGTATATGTCTGTTACTGTCTGCAAGATCACGGTGTTATTAGGACAACACTGACATCGTGTGGTCTGACTGAACTGCAACAGACTACTTTTATGTCAGTCGGCTTTAGGCCATCGTCAGAGCATGTGCTGGTGACGCAGAAGATGAATATCAGACATCTCCATTCAGTCCATCCTTTATTTACAGGAGCGCAGTGCTGCGCTGGCTTCGGCGCCTAATCTTGCGTCCCTCATCGGCTCTTCCCAAGTGTCTCCATCTCTGCTGCTCGCTGCCAGAGAGGATCAGTCCTTCATTGACCCGGTCAAAGCTGGAACAAGCACCTCTGTTTACAAGGTACAATCATGAACGTGTCTGTGATCCTTAATGAAGATGCCTCTGACTCCAGCTAAGTAAGCATTTTCTTTTTTCTTTTTGTTGTTTTTTTTCTGGTGTCACTAGACGTTGATGGGCAGTGTACCAGACAGAGGAGGACGACCTGGGGAAATTGAGCCTCCTATGCCAGCATGGACAGGGAGAAGCTCGAAAGGCAACAGAGGGGGACGAGGAGGCGGACAATCTCATAAGCATAAGAAGAAGAAAGGGAAAAAAGATTAACTTGTCCGTCTTTTTGGCCTTACTTATCAATTTAAGAAATAAGCGATCATTTTGCTTTATTGAAATCCTTGTTGCGAGGTTAACTACGATTGGGAAGTGCTATATATAATTTTGTAGTTCTAAATCTGTGTATAATTTATAGTTATAAGTCATGCACATACCAGATTGTGTACATTTCTATAAAAGCAATGAAGTACTGGTACATGACCAGATATTTTGGTAAAAGAGCAGAAAATGGAAAAAATGTTGGCTTTCCACATTTATCAGTAAGTTTGTTTAAGAATAAACCTCTGAAACACACATCTGTTGGTATTTTGTTCAATTTACATAAAGCATCTTTTAAGGATTATTGCATGAATATTTTATGCTCACTTCACATTTTGGAGACAAGAGTTCCCCTTGCCTTTTTTAGGTGATTTCATAAGATAGCAAACATGTTTATGTGGAATGAAAAAGCCTCACTTACATCTTAAAAAACTGAAGGGTGACTTTGAATATCTAAGAATGTTGTTTTATTGTTACACATTAACCAAGACTCACTTCCCCCTGAGAGAGCTCCTTGTTACAGCATTGAGTCATCTCTCTAGTGCCAGTGTTTCCACTTCAAAGTCTAAATTGCCTAAAGAAGGAAAAGATCATCCAAATATTAATTATCTTAAATATATTTGGAATAAACTGGTTTCAATGTTTAATTTGGATCTTGCCAAACCCAAAGTTGTGCTAAGGTAAAGCTCATTTTGACCAGAAGTTCTAGTAGTCCACAGTGATGTATTGAAATAATTTCAAGATCTTGTACACCAGTTTAATAAACAACAGTTTCACTTGTTTTATTATCTGAAACTCCACCCTCAACCATCTGAAATCTGCAGATAGTTATGGATTAGATTAAGTAAACTTTAGAAACTGTGAACTTTAGGAAATGTTATTTTAACATCTGTCTATTCTTCTCTGTTGATTCTTCCTCTTGAGTTTTCAAAAAAAACCCAAAAAACATGAGAAAGTGGTTTAAGTCTGAAATTGGATGAGAAAGCATGAGAAAGGAATTCTAGGAATACTGAAGTAACGGCTGATGCAAAGAACATCTTGATCAATTTAAGATTATGAATTGCTTTTAACAAGCTGGGACCACATCCTTATTTCAGTTTGATAACAGCAGATTGAGAAAGAACAAATTGAAGCTGTGGTTTGGGAACGGCCTCAGAGGGGACTGGCTGCAGATCCCAGGCAGATCTAATGAGAAGTGACTGAATTGGGGGAAAAGGGGAGAAGTGTGGGGCATGAAAATGAGTACAAACAGCTTGTGGCGCTGGAGGCATATACCAGTGCATGAGGTGTGGTCCTGCACCTGAAATTCAGATAAATTATCTCCAGTTATTGGACACCATACAAGTTTTGAGAAAAGGGCTGGAAGATGCAAATATATACTTTGCTAAAGAGCTTCTTATTTCTTTCCACCGTTCTGCATTGATGGACGCAACATATCGGGCAGAGTTGAAGTTCCGATTTTAATTGGGAGTAACCAGAATTAACAGGATCAGACGAGATTGTTTCAGAGGGACAGCTCATGTTCAGCAGCTGGAGACAAAGTTAGAGACGCAAGGCTGAGAAGGTTTGGACATGTGCAGAGGAGGGCTAGTGTATGCTGAAGATAGAATTACCAGGCAAGAGGGGACCTGAAGATTCATGGATGATATCTGATTTAGAGAAACTAAATAAAATGCAAACAATAATTAACTTATTTTACGACACACATGCGTTCAAATGTGTTTTTTCTTCTTTTTATTTAAAGTTCTGAATAAACCTTATGCAGCATTTCGTGGGTAAAAATACACAGTTTAAAGGACAAAGAAATAGATATGAAGCACAATGTGAGACGGCCTTGATCCTACAATATGAAACAAGTAAATAATATTATATAACAATATCAAAAACAGCTTGCAAGTAAAAGCAGTCCGGAGTTCATTTTTTTAAACAAATATTGAATAAAGCAAAACCGTTTAAGACTTTGTTGATGGCACAGAAAACAATTCTAACCTTTAGCCTAGGTGAACAACGTAATGCGTTACGCAACACTCACCTGGCGGAATCGTCCTTGTTGTGTATCCTGCACACCGGAAGTTACTCGGGAGACAAATGATGTAACACGTGGAAAGTTCCGGATTGTCTAAAGGTCGCTGAATATAAAGCGGCGTGACAGCGTCAGTGTGTATTTATTTAAACCCGCAGGTAAACTTACCTAAGTGTTCAACATGCCGAGAGGAAGCAGAAGCCGGACGTCCAGGATGCCCCCTCCAGCCAGGTAACACTTAGGGTTTAATTCCCTTTTGTTAAAGAAAGGTAGAGTAGATATTTTTAGTTAGCACAAATGCTAACGTTTAGGTAATGTCATAGTGCCGTATGTTAGCTAGGAAAGTGCAGGTCATGAAGTGCTTCAAGTATCTTATAAGGATAATTTCAATTAAAGCTTAATTGCCGGTAAATCTGGGTATTGCTCAGAAAGTTACTGTGTTATGAAAATGATGAAGGTCATTGTCTTTATCGTGGTTTCCTCTGTACAAATCCCCACATGCTAGCAAAGCCAGTGGAGTTGCATCAGCTTCTAGTCTTTCTTCTAACCTGCAGCTAAACTGAGACTTTATTCTTCCGAGTTATAACGAAATAAGTCGCACAATGGTTGGAAGTATTTCTGTTTCTCTTCTTCTTGTGGGAAGAATAATCCCTCTGTGCCCTCATTTCTCTTTCACTAAATATATCCGAAACTAAGCTGAATATATAGCTGAAACTAAGAATTGCAAGAACACATTTGACTCTTGGTGCTTAATAATTTGTACTAATGTCTCCACCTGTAAGGCCAAGCTGCTTAGGGAAAGACTGATTATTTTCCACAGTGACATGTTGTTTAAAGTTCACTTTGAACACAGGTGGGCTTACTTTATCCAGCTACGGGATAACACTTTTTCTTAGCAAGTGAAGAACAGATCCCAGGAGGAGACGCAAATCCCTTTGTGGTTGCATCAAGAAGAGCATCTGAATATTATTCTCGCTTGTGAATAAGTGATCAGCTGAAAGTAGCTCTTTGTCTTACTAGTGTGGAGATATTCTCTGAATCAGAGCTTCACCTTTATCCAAGCTTTCATAAACCTTTGCTGTGATTCAGAGTAATAGCTGGAATAACAGATGTCAGCTCATATCTGTTTTTGATTGTGTTTGGTAAAGTTGCTAAAAAAGTTCTTAACAAAACGTTTTTGTTACAGCCGGGCTCCACCATCCCCTCCACCTATGGCCCGGGCTGCTCCCCCTCCCTCCTACGCCCCGGCTCCGATGCAGGCGCCTCCGTCCGCTGTCAGCACGCCAGCCGCAGCGCCCAGGCAGCCGGGTATGTTTGCCCAGATGGCGTCTACAGCCGCTGGGGTGGCAGTAGGCTCAGCGGTAGGCCACACAATCGGTCACGCCATGACTGGAGGTTTCAGCGGAGGACACTCAGAGCCTGCCAGGCCTGACGTCACATACCAGGTAAGCTCAGGTTTAGCCAGCCACAGGACTGGAACAGTTTCAAGTAAGATTAGGGTGTCTGAGACACAGTATGCAGGGCCTCTGCAACATGGAGCAGGTGAAAAACAAACACCGCATTTTATGTAACGCATGGAGTTACATGCACTGTGGTAGTTCAGTATAACAGCCAGATGGAAACAATATGATGAAAATTGAGACTTTTAACTAAAAGCAGTGAAGGAATCATCTTGCTTTCATTAAGACTCCTGTGTGCAATCAGTGCTGGTTGATTAAAGATGAATTACTCCCTCTGCTCAATCTGGGTTTGTTTTTTGGTTTTTTTATGTTTACACATGTGATAAGTTTAATTTGAAAATACAGACACAGCTGCTGCTGAAGGTAAACATCAGTTATGAAAAATATTTGGGGCGTTTATAACCAAAACAAAAGTCCAAAGGTCAAACGTGGTTTATTTACATTCACACAAGTGCAGGGAAATATGCATAATGATGTTTGTCTCATTAACCCTGAACCCAGTACATCACTATTATCTTTATGCAGTTACATTCATAGTAGATTTTAAGATATGAGTGATGACCAATCATTTACTCTGCTTTTCTTTATGACAAAAAGGACTTGGAAACCACACGCTCTTGAGCAGTTTGAGGATCGCAGTTTTAGATATTTCAGCATTTTTATCGATAGATGTGTAAATAGATTTACTTTGTGTCATTAATGGAAGATATTCCATCTTTGTGATACAAAACTGAAGCTTGTTCTGACATGTTAAACTCTGTTTTGATCTTTGTCACACACATGATTTAATCCTCTGCCTTGTGTGTATTAGGAGCCATACCAGGCCCAGCCTGTGTACCAGCAGGGGGCCCCTCAGCAGCAGCAGCAGCAGCAGGCCTGCTCCTACGAGCTCAGGCAGTTCGTTGAGTGTGCCCAAAACCAGAGCGACCTCAAGCTCTGCGAGGGCTTCAGTGAGGTGCTCAAACAGTGCAGGTTTGCTAATGGTGAGTGAAACACGTCCAGGCTTTGTATAAATGGAGACTGCTGTCTTTCTGTCTTCTAGTCGTTGCTTTTCATCATTATTAGTAATTTGTAGGGGTGCAACGATACACAAAATTCACAGTTCGGTTCGATACTTTGGTGTCACGGTTCGATATTTTTTTCGATACAAAAAAAATGTTCATGCCTTTTTAGTTTGTCATTTATTAAATTTTCACGGCACATTCCGCACCACATCTCTGTGCGTTCATCATTTGTTTGAAGCCAGCTCACCTCCTGCAACCACTTTTCCGAGAATACGCGCTTCTTTTGTGGTTCGGACTCCTCCTGACATTTGTTTGGAGGTGGAGGAACACCACAGTAATTGCTTAAAGGAGCTTCTTCGACATCTTTAAGAGTTCTAAACAAATGTCTGTCCTCCTCCTGAAAATCTTATGTACGCAAACACGCGTTGCAACTTGTCTTGTGCGCGTTTTTTATTTTGACAGCGAATGCGCACCTGCGGACCACTTATGTGCAGCCCTGGTTATTTAGCTCGTCATATTGCAGCCACAGAAATTCTTTTGTCCATGAAACCATAAAGCTGCACTTTCTTTTTGCCTTATAGTCTGATTTGTCATAACTTTTCCGTTTTGTGGAAAGCTTTTCTTTGGCTGTCACTTCTTCACCCTGACCTGTCTGATTTGGCTCAGCAGAACTAAAATATGTATCCTGCTGCTTTTACACACACGCTCACATAAGCTCAGCGATTCTCTGCGCGATCAACCTCTCACATGTTTAAGCTGCGGGAGATTTCACTTGTCATGTTTGCATAGTAAGCTAACGATTAATAAGACGATGTCGAGGAATTGGTGCACAAATTATCATCACTCACAGATCAGTGCTGTTGCTCTCTATACACAGTTCGCGCGATTGCAAAGTGAAAGCAAAAAACAAGCGCAAATTCAAACGCGATTTCAATATGTCACATATTGACAGTGACTCACCGATGCCAATGACATAATTACCCAGCTACATTTCCGAAAGAATGCAAAAGCATTGACATATATTTTTCCTTCCTACGATAGGCCGACGGGCAGGGCAGAGATAGATTTTGGTAGCCCGACTGGAAAAATCGCTAGCCCCCGCTAGCGATTTTTGCGAGCCCTGTATCTGATCGAGGAATCCCTCATCTTTGGAAAAGAGTTTATTACAGAGAAATGTCTCTTTCCAAAATAAAAGCTATACTATCCGCTTCTTCTGGTCTATATTCTCAGCAGCATATTAAACATATCAGGTCCCCATAAGGAGAATCATGTGCTAACGGCTGTCTAAATGACTCGGGTAAAGTTTGCAGCATGTATGCTTGTTGTTTTTGTCTGCTTCCACTTGTCTTTGCACTAGGATGATGTCGGCGTAAATGTGCAGTCATATTCGTTTTGTTCCCACTAGTGCTGTCAGCGTAAATCTTGTTGAAATGACGTTAACGCCACAACACGGCAAATCTCCATTAACGAGCTACCGCGGATCGCCCCGTGCATGGGGCTGGACGGCCAACACGTTAATGAGCTAACTGCGCTAACACACTAGCTCCCACCCATGTAATTGAGCATTGCATGGCACATCCAACATACTGTTTTACTTTAGTCCATGACTCTCTTACCTTCAGGGTCATACGTCACATGAAAACCAAAGTAGTTCCAAACGCCAGATCTGACTGAGGGTGGGGGAGGTTCAATTTGCCATGTTGCAAGGAGAGCTTAACTTCTGTCTCGCTAGCTTGCCCTGCGCTCAGTGGATCTGCGTTCGACTACTCCGCCTAGGCTGCACTGTCGAGCGCAGATCCACTGAGCGCTCAACACAGACAGCATCGTCAGAAGGAAAGTTGATAAAATAAATAAAAAATGTTGTATTGTTCGATACATATGCGTACCGAACCGAAAGCACTGTATCGAACGGTTCAATATCGATACGTGTATCGTTGCACCCCTAGTAATTTGATATATTTAAAGTGAGTGTAGTTACGAAATGCTATAGTTTCTGTTGCATTTGCGGCTAGCTAAAAATTTACTACGTATGGGGGGGGGGGGGGGGTAGACGCACAAGCTGTTGCACATTTTCAGCATGCTCCTTTCATAAAATTCTGTTAAAGTACTGGATCTTCCTGATGCATATCAAATAGATCAACATCAAGCTGTTGCATTTTCAGTCTCATTTTTCTCTTTTCAAACTGCGTTTAACCCAGCAAGCATCGAGGCTTTGAATGAGCCCTTTGTCGCTCACATATCAAAGCCAAATGACTTTGCACTATTCTAAACTCCTGTAATACCCAGTGTGGCCATAAGGGGGAGCCTTTACCTAAGTATGTTAAGTCATTTTAAACGATTTAAAGTATTAACTGTCCTTATCTCTTTCTACAGGTCTGTCATGAGAAGAGATGCTATCTGCAGAATGAAGATCACATCTCCTTATTAAAGATACTGAGAGGGTGTAATTCACAATCAATAAACATGTTTTAATGATCAATTGTCATCGACAGCCTCATTTCTCAGACTGCTGCAGAGCTTGTAATCATAGTCTTATAAATAATGTTTATATATTTTGGTTTTAGCTCATGTTTGAGGTTTATTTTCAGTTGTCAGTGCATGCTTTTAATTTAAATCCTGTCTCATGGCAAGACTTGTAGAGAGAAAAAAAGGCCACTTTCACCTTCTGGCTGCTGGGTTTGATTCAGACTAATAAAGCACTTGAATTAAAACGAGACTATGATGGGTTTTTGTTTTTTTTTGTTTGTTTTTTCCCCACATCTCCTCATCATATGCGCTCTGTATTATTACACTGAAGCATTTCTGTTTTCACCTGTGCTTTCTTTAGACTTCAGCAGCTACAAAGGGGTGTCCCGCACCTGTCCCGTCACTCTGCTTTCAGCGCAAAATTCACGAGCTGCAACCTGCGCGTGAAGTAATGTTTTGACTCCAAAAGCGTCGTGGCGAGAGCACGAGCCGCGGGGTATTATTTCATGGATGGGTTTTTTTGTAAGGACTCATTCAGGGTGTCCTTCTGCTCATTCTGCATCTGCCGAAGCAAATAGTTATTTTTGGCACCTGACATTAAAGCTCACCCTCTGCAGCATGGCAGCAGCAGACCCGCAAACGCGCCATAGCGCCGGAGTCTGACTGCAGCTCTTTGTTCGTCCTCAGAAACTCACTGTGCGCGATTTGATGATGGATTGTCTTCGTATCAGGGACTGACGGACACGGTGAGGGACGCCGGCCTTTTAATGCGTTTATATTGCAGGTCACTCGGGGACAGTGAGTGAGCAGTTGAACGGGTTCACACGTGGTGGCGTGGGTTGCTTTATTAGTCTGCGCTGTGTTTGGTATGACATTAAGTTTGAAACGATGGCTTCTTGTATTCACCCAAACCACGTTCTGTGAGTTTATTGGACTTTTGTTTGCTTTACTGGAAGAAGTGAAAGGAGACAGGTGGGTACATGTTGTAACGACGGGAGGAAAAAGTCGCCCATCTGGTTTTTTTTTATCATTTAAAATCAGATATTTTGCGCGTTAGAGCATCTAAGAGGAAAATTTAACCACAGCCGTGTTACTGAGACCATCATCATATTTTCAAGCTGCTCTTTTATTGAACTGAAGCGACACAGTGATGTTGGCACATGTTACAGGCTGTAAAATACGAATTTCCTGTTCAGTATTCAGTGCGCATTCACTGGCCAGTCTCGTTTCTGACTACAGTAAAAAGAGAATGTCCAAACTACACGTTTTGTTGGATATTTATGAAAACATTGCTCTTTTTTTGCACATTTATTCACAGAATTGCAGAAAATATTTATTCTAAAAACTCCTGTGATGTAAGTAATCAGATGGAGAAGTGGGAACTGATTTCCATTAAGAATCATGAGTTCAGTAATTTAAGGGTTCAAAGTCATGTATGATTTTCAGAAATCTCCACACTAATAGAACTTCCACATTTTTCTGTTTCAGCCCTGTCTATATTCTGACAGGTTTTAATAATAACTTTGCTTATAGGCCGTTATAATCCTAAAAACATGGAAATAATGCTAATCATCATCATCGTTTTGAAGCTTTTCTTGATATTTTTGCGCCGGAAGTGCATCCAAATGAGTAGATATGAGAAGTTTGTCTCCTGTAAACACTAAAATGTAGTTTCAAGGTAAGTAATTAATTGGGATCAGGGACGTTCTAGTAATTTTTAAACTGAGTGGCACTGCGACAACCAAAGGAAATAAGAATACTTAAAGATAAATAAAATGGATTAAAATAAATCACACTGCAATTTAAAAGGAAAAAAAGGTATGCTGTCTATGGCGACGCCCTAGCAGTTAAGGGAATATACTTAAGTAGGTGTAAAATGCCTAAAGTAACTGTACTCCATATGTTACATGATGTTATTGGTAATAATTACAATTAAATGATTCATTTGTTGATGATTTTGATTACTTAAGTATCACTCAGTAGCTTGATCTGTAATAATGCAGTTTAATTACTTAACATTCTGCTGATAAAGCTTTAAATTGAACAGTATGGCCTACAAAATACAGCTGGCACGCCTGGTGCCCAAACACACATCTTATCTGGACAGCTCCTGCTGGTGAAGCAGCTAACTGGTGAATATCCGTCAGAACAGCTTGGAAGCAGTTCTAGTGTGATCAGATGTGCAAAAAGCCTTAAAGTAGAGCTGTGTTTAGTGAAAATGCTGGAGTTTTGAATGCATGTTCTGCCTGCAGCCTGAGGTCAGCTGCAAGAGGAGATACTTCTGTACTATTAGCCTTGAGCTGGAAACATGACCAAGGAGGAGGAGATCCCTGATTGGGTGGGAGCCAAAGAGTTCTACGACAAGTATGAGCCCAAGGAGATTCTGGGAAGGTATGTTTACGAAACCGTCGTCGTAACGTGACCCATAGCAGAGGTTCACCCAACTGAGCTGAGCAGAAAACTCTCCATTGGACTTTGGACTAAAGAGTGCACATTTTTACCTCTTAAAGATTAGGTAAACTAGACCTATATGTAGCCACATGTGAGGGTTCCAGGATAAAGATCCACTTGAGCAAAACCCCAAAAAACAATAATGGTTTATTGTTTGTGAATTTAAGCCAACTCGTCTCTTCTTCAGAGTTTACACAAAATAACTTCAAAGAGTAGCAAGGCAGAACACAAAAATGGTAAAATATCTACTTGCTATTAGTTTGTAGAGATTCATTTAATGTTACAACACACCTCAGATTTAGACCTCAGTTCAAACAGCTATCATCCTCTGCACAGAACAAGCACTTTCCCCAAAGTTTCCCACAAGCCCCTGAGAAATGGGAGCCGAGCCAGGGCCTGCTCATTGTCATTCAGTCCACCAGCTGTCAGAGGGTGGTGCTGTTACGTAAGACACATTATCCAAGGAGGCCACATTTATTAACTTCAGCACGCTTCAGACAAAGTGTTGGCCGTCGGTCTGATAGATTATGTAATTTCACCCCCTTTTCCCACATGCAGGTCAGGAGGTCACAGGATGTGGACAATGTGTCCTTCTTCTAGTATTCTTCATTCAGAGAAAAGTCACTGGAGTTCCTTTACTGTGGTCACCCTGAAGTTTCTCTTGTTCATTCATAAATCGCCTTCTGAATTTAATTTCAGCAGTAAGGTTTTCAGTTTGCTTACTTGATGTTTTTCTCTGTTTTCCTGGACGTTAATGATAAACAAGACAATCTTCATGACAAGCACATTCTTCACTGTTTTTACTTGCTCTGTCAGACTGATAAGATGGTAAAAACATACAATGCTTTCCTTTAGTCTGACCATGTCACTGATTTCTGACCAAAAACAGTGCTGTTTTGAAACTGTTAAACACATGATTCATGATGAAAGACACGGTCACAGAACATTTTATCCAGCAGTTATCACAAGTTGCCCTCCTACCCAAACCTAAAAACAACAGATGTGCAGCTCGGACGGCTGATGTGCTTTTTTTCATCCTCAGGGGAGTGAGCAGCGTGGTGCGCCGCTGCGTCGACAAGCATACGTCTCAGGAGTACGCGGTGAAGATCATCGACATCACCCCCTCTGACAAGATGACGCCGCAGGAGATCGAAGAGATCAGAGAGGCGACGGTGAAGGAGATCGACATCCTCAAGAAAGTCTACGGGCAGGAGAACATCAGTATGCATGCTTCATTTAATCAGTTTGACTGGAAAAACTTGGGTTCGTTTAAACTTTGTTCTTCTAACATGGCCAAATATCAAAGTAACTCTCTTCTCCAGTTCAGCTCAAAGACTGCTATGAGTCCAAGGCCTTCTTCTTCCTGGTTTTCGACCTGTAAGTGTTTCACATGGATGATTCCTGAACAGGTATTTATGTGAAAATCAACCAAAGCTTTTAGTTTCTTTTTCCCAGAATGAAGAGGGGTGAACTTTTTGACTACCTCACAGAAAAAGTTACACTGAGTGAGAAGGAAACACGGTCAGTGAGCATGTTATTTAATAAAAAGACAGATAAATTCCGCTAACTCTTAAAAGGACTCTTTAAAGGTTTGTACGTGTTGTCTTTAGGAAGATCATGCGGTCTCTATTGGAGGTGGTCCAGTTTCTCCACGCCCAGAACATCGTTCATCGGGACCTGAAGCCCGAGAACATCCTTTTAGACGACTACATGAACATCAAACTCACTGACTTTGGTTTCGCTGTGCAGATTCAGCCAGGACAGACGCTCAAAGGTCAGTGAAAGCTTCCATTACTGCAAGGTGTGTCAGCAGTTCAGAAACCTGGTGGCTGTAATCACACAACTTGTCAAAAGATGACAAAAATACTTAAAGCATTAAAAGCTTTCACAGGTTGGCTGACAGTTAAACACCAGTGCATCATTTCAGACCCACCACTGAGTTGAGTGAATATTAAAGTTACAGTTTACAGCCTGCAGTGCACTCGTCAGGACATCAGCTGTTGGTGGTGAGCGGAGAATCTGGGTCTGGTTGCACAACAGCTCCCTGCTCTCTTAGCTGCTCTTACAAAGGTTAAGGAACAGGACACTCTGATCTATTTGCTGCAGTTCCAGACACTCACAGTACACTGACCTTTCAAATAGACTTCTCAGAAGTCGGATCATTAGCAGTGCGAAATGCCAAGCGTCTAATGAAACTGTGCATCGCTGGATAGTTTTGTTCAGTCGGTAAAGACGTAATGGGCTTCTTCCATTAGGCTGGAGATCTACTTGACCCAGCAGCACTTAATCTAAATGTGCTCAATTAATGTCTAAATGCATAATACTTTAATTATGCTATAAATGTTCCCTAAAGATGGATGTTAAATTAAAGGAAAAACCTAATCTCTTGAGTGAGGGGATCTTGTGGCTCTGTTATGCTGAGGTGGAACATTGGCATAGTTTGTACTGAGTTTCTCAAATCAATACAATGCTGTTCAACGTAATGTAATATTTCTAGCGGGATGTAGACCTCTCTTCCAGGGTGAGATCTCCATCCACAAGGCATGAGAGCATGCTGAATGGTTTGATGATGATAAAAACGAGGAGAATCAGAAGCTGTGAGCAGAAGTTCTCACACTGTCTCTGCCGTGCCTTCCTTCAGAACCCAAAAAGTTTGTACTCCACCTCTCACACAATTCTTTTTTATCAGTCACCGACAATAGTCACTCTTTTGGAAGTAGCTCGATCTGCCCAACCAGTTGTGGTAAAAGGAGTTCTTCCTTCACACTGTTTCAAAGTGCTCACTCACACAGTGGTTTTCAGGGTCTTTAGCCTGCAGTATAAATCCCTTTGAGGTGAATATTGCTGTGAATTGGATCGGTTAAACAGTATAAATAAAATTGAACCACACTGAGTTAAATTGAAAGAGTTTGTTTTGTCTCTCCAGTAGAGATGCACTGATTCCCATTGAATGTGATGACCAAACACTTCCCTAAGATACTGTATTATTTTTTTCTTTTAATATATCATCTATTTGTGTGTCACTTTTGTAGTTGTAGAGATATTAATAGACAATGAGGACAGTAAATATTTAACCCTTACATACCGTTTGGGTCAAATTTGACTCAAATCTATTCAGATGGGTTTTAGATCCACCAGCATGAATCAAATCGAAGGAAATGGCGGGCGTCTTAAAACTCTGCGTGACATGTCTGTGTGTATTTTGTACAGGAAAGTGGTGACAGAGTTCTGTCATGAAAAATACTGGTGTTCCCTCCACATCTACCCAGGTTCCTGCAGAGACCTGCCCATGCAGGTCTTTAAAGGACCATCAGGGGGATCTCCACGCAGTGAAATAGTAAAACAGCACAGGATCATTTATGGGTCACATAAAGAACAGAGGTCATACAGAAGTCAGAGAGTGCCTTGGGCAGACACACAGCTGTAATAGGGCTGCACAGTGGTAGAGTGGTCAGCACTGTTGCCTCACAGCAAGAAGATTCCCAGTTGAAATCCTGGCTGTAGCCTTTGCATGTTCTCTCTGTGCCTGTGTGGGATTACATCAGGTATTCCTGCTTCCCGTCACAGTCTAAACATATTAGTTTAGTTTAGGTTAACTAGTGATTCAAAATCCATGGCCTCCACGCCTGATTTACACACTGAGGGCAATTTTTAGGGTTCTTGCCTAAGAACAATTCTGCATGTAGACAAGGATAGACTCATGAATACCTGTAAATGAACACCTCTTAAGCGTTATTTGAAATTCTGTAAAAGTGGTTTTATGTTGACAAAGATCAGGGAATATGCTCCCTTTAATAACATTTATTTACTCTTCCTGTCTGTAATGCAGAGGTGTTTGGGACTCCTGGTTACCTTGCTCCTGAGATCATTGAGTGCTCTATGGACGCAGGACATTCAGGATATGGTACAGCTGTGGACATGTGAGCGACCATGAAATCGGTTACCAAGTAACAAAAATATCAATAGGAGGGAGTGTCAGCTTTACTCTCATGTTACCAAAATTGATCTTATGCACCTCAGCAGTGTGTTAGAATTATCTCATAAGCCTGTGTACAAAATAATGACTCATATTATCTGTTGTGTGGCTCGGCTAATACGTGTTCCAGGTGATTAGATTATGCATGTACACACTGCACAGTGAACAGACTAGATAAACTTTGTTCTGGCTCGTGTTTGCAGATGGAGTTCAGGTGTTATCATGTACACGCTGCTCGCGGGCTCTCCACCGTTCTGGCACAGGAAACAGATACTGATGCTGCGCATGATCTTAGCGGGGACGTACGACTTCTCCTCTCCTGAATGGGAAGACCGCTCAGACACGGTCAAAGATTTGGTAATCTTACTTTCACAGTTTGTTGCAATCTCAGTTTTATAAGTTAGGTGATAAGGTTGAAACCTCGGAACTAAAATAATTCTTCCTCCAGATCTCGCGGATGCTGGTGGTGGATCCAAAGCAGCGTTTCACAGCTACAGATGTTCTGAACCACTCGTTCTTTTCACAGTACGTGGTGCACGAAGTACGGCAATTCACTCCGTTCAGGCGCTTCAAGGTGAGAAACACAAGATTTTATCAAACTAAAAATCTTAATAGTTTTCATATTTGAGGGATATATTTTATGGTATCTTTATCATATCTCGATCAAAATATAACCCTAATTCCAAAAAAACCTGGATCTTGCTCCCCCTAAATTTCTGTCTATTTCTGTCTACTACAACTTTACTGTCTTTGATAGTTCATAAAGAAACCATAACCTTTTCTGAACTTTCTCCATCAGGTTATTTGCTTGACCGTTCTCGCTACAATGCGAATCTACTGCAACTATCGCCGTGCCAAGCCCATCACCAAGGAGGTGATAAAGAGCGACCCGTACGCCGTGAAGCCCATCCGCAAGCTCATAGATGCGTGCGCCTTTAAGATCTACGGCCACTGGGTCAAGAAGGGCCAAACCCAGAACAGAGCAGCACTTTTTGAGAACACGGCCAAAACCATCCTGCTTTCGATCGCCACTGAAGCGGACGAGCCCATCCAGTAACAAGCAGCGTGGACTGACACGTGCTGAGTTTTACATGGGGAAACATTTAAACTTCTTTCTTTGTAGAAAAGAACTGCTACAACTAGTTTATGCATAATGCAGCATTTTTAAAAGCAGCCGTAGTGACTACAGGGGGATTGATTTATCTCAAGGACTGAAATGTTTGGCAAAATTTTCAACCATGCCACTGGTGACATTGTGCTTGCTTTGTTCTAAAAGTGTACTCAACCCATTGTCAGCTTGTGTCCTATGAAAATGCAGCTGCTGTTCTTTAGATCGAATGCAGCCCCTCAAATACAAGGTGTATCAAAAAAGAATAATCAGATTTCAAAAGGCTGTACTTTTTAATGAACATAGAAACTTATGGTAAATTTTAAAGTACATGGCTGAATATACAAAAAGTTACGTTTGCAAATGCCTGATGTGTCTCCCTCGGCAGTTAAACCTCGCCCATACTTTGGAGAGCATGTCTGGAGTCGCTGCTGTTGTTCTTACCAGCAACCATGTAAAACTCGAATCTGCTCTAACAGCACATGTCTGTCTTTTGATCGTTAAATGGCGAATGGCTGTGGAATTAAGGCGCTTTTAATTCCAATTATTATTTTTTTTTGATACACCCTGTATATTAACAAAAAAATTTTTTTCAGCACTACATGGTATTCTTATAGCCTTCGCACTCTAAAAACTGTTTATATTTCAAATGTTAAAGAGTGACTCAGGAGGAAAATGTAGAGTTTAGTTAAGTCAAGTCTATACTCTATTGTGAAACCTTGTGGGAAATACCTGCAGTTTATCTGGCTGGAATATAAAACCTGCGTGATTTACAGTTTGAGAACTATGTGCCTACTTAATCAATATGCAGAGTATGCTCTGGTGGCAGCAACTCAAGGGAAGTGTAACTTTAACTTGTATGCTATTAATGTATTTATTAAAACATGTAAAACCCCAAGTCCTGCAAATGGAGGGGTACTTCAGCTCTGCAATTCTGTGCTTTTCTGTCTTTCTGCAGCATTTTTAAGCTTGAAGTAGAACACTGACACACACAGACAAAAAAGAATTACAATTTTAAAGTTTATTAGCAACAGAGTGAGATGCACATCAAAAAAAACATCACAGGTTCACCGACTTCAGACAGATTTGAGTGTGTTGACCGTTGTCCCCACAGTCTTGCTTTGGAAGCTTTCATCCTGCAGAATTTAGAAAAACAGAATAAATCAATATGAAACCATCAGGAATAGCCAAATGTGTGTTTGTACTCATTCCCACGCAGCTGGATGAGCTTGAGGAAGGCACTCATCCACTAATTTAGTGGAAATGAGACGTGGCTGTTGCATGGTGTCTGACTGTATCCAGCACAGAGCAGCTGGACCAGAATTCGCCCATGCCTTTAAGTTAACAAGTCTAATAACATACCATCCTCGGGATGTTCCCCAGAGGCTGGCGACCGGTCGAGCTGCACTTCATGTAAATGTTTAGACACGCTGAAACAGAAGGAGAACCGAAGCTATGAGATAAATCTGAGCTAATAAAACAGGAAACAAGCCAACAGCACAGAGCATCAACAGGGAAGAAGACAGCAAGCAATGTTGAGCAACAGATCATTAATATACCGGCTGAATCGCTTTGAAGGAACGAGGCCGTTGATGTATTCACTCTGACGTAAGAATGAGAAGCACAATGAGCACCCTCATCCTGCTGAGTCAGTTTGTGAAAGCATTCATGTCGCATGGTGTCTGACTGTATTTACTACATCCAGAGCAAAACAGAATTCAGCCATGCATTCAAAATTCAAGCTGTAATTTTATTTATAGAGTACATTTCACTACACTCAAGCTTTCGGCTGTTCCCTTGGCAAAGGAGTCACGGCAGAGGGTAGCTTTGCATGTTTGATATCCAGATCCCCTTCCTGATACAACCCCTAGAGGGAAATTCATTTCCAGATTGAATCGAATCAACGACCTTTCACTTGACAAGTGAATGGGTAGAAGATAAAAACATAAAAAGGTATGTAGGTTTAAAATGAAAACTGCAAAATAAAACTTACTACAAAGTAGTAAAACACCAGTTCACACTTATGAGCCGAGTTCTGGGAGAATAAAAGGTTTTGAGCCTGTTTGTAACTGATCTCAGGTCAGCAGGTGGCTCGTTCCAAAGATCAGGAGCACTAGCAGCTGAAAAGCACCCTCGGCACAATATTTTTCACTGCCTTTTTCCAACAACACCTCCTCGGCTCCACTCCATTCTACTCTGTTTTGGTCACTGTGTAGTAATTTCCCTCGTTTCCCCTTCAAAAATGGTGAGTTTGAGTCTTATGAAAGAGTTGCTCTCATGACTTACCCCGGCCAAGAAAACAAAAACAACCTGGTACCAGGTACTACCACTTAATGGAAAACGCTTAAAACCAAGTTGAGCTGAGTAGATGCTAGTGAAAAGAGGAATTACATGCATTTCTGGGGACAAGTAAACATCTGCATGATGATCTGAGAGGTCAGACTATGTTATAGACACTGACCTAGTCAGATAAATACTGGGGAGGCCAAACCACTCAGTGCTTTGTCAACTAATAGAAGGATGATAAAAGAAGGATGATAGAGCATTACAGCAGTCCAAACTGCTTGAGATTAACGCAGTGGTTCAACTCAAACAACTACCCACTGTGGTGACCGCTTATGAATAAGGGACCAGCTGAAAGTAACTTTCCATTCAGAATATTCAGTACGAAACAACATCTCCATAGAATGAAAGCCACATAAAGTGTAGTGATGGAACAGACTGGGATAAGTGGCGCGATATGGCAGCCTCGCTTCTGTCAGTCTGCCCCAGGGCAGCTGTGGCTACAACTGTAGCCGCCTCCACCAGTGTATGAATGTGAGAGTGAATGAATAGTGGTATTGTAAAGCGCTTTGGGTGCCTTGAAAAGCGCTATATGAATCCAATCCATTATTATAAGTGGAATACTTTTTTTTTTTTTGCTTGGGAACACACTTACCCTGGTTATATCCTGAAAAGACACGTGGTTTTGCTTTGGCATTAACTAACTCAGTCACTTCCCCTGTGTTTCATTTGTACCTTATAGTATATTAAGAACCGTGTGCATCTGCCGGTCGCTTCAGCCACATGGAGATCTGCGTGTTTCAGGATGGGAGCTCCCGCATGATTACTCCGGATATCACCTCCAGTACCACCCTGTGCAACAAGCAACGACGACAAAGCACAAATAAACACAAATGCACATCCTGCACAGGATTCCACCTTTAAGCTGTCAGGTAACACCTTATCCACATAGTTACAACCTATGAGAGTGTTCTTACAGCATGGTGGCGTTACGGAAAATAAGTAAATTAATTCACCAGTGAACACAATTTACACAAATTATCGGGTCCACCACGTGTGCATGGAAACACGTGCCGTTAACTAAATACTTTCAACCTGAATGGGGGGAAAAATCACCTGCGTCACGCTACAGCCTCATATTTTAACCTTCGTTTCTTCAAGAACGTTTTCCATTCACTTCTACATGATGTCTATAAGGCCACATCTTCAGCGGACCAAAATACGTCCGGATAAACCACGCTAAAGACTTTTCCTCTTCTTTTCCCTCCAGTTTGTGGCGGGTGAAACAGAAACAGCTCGGCGTGCACCAGCGCCCCCTTCTGGATGGGAGGTTAACTGGAGCACATATTAAATCAGAGCGTCACAGTTTCTTTAAAGAATCTGACTCATAGATAAAGCCTTTAGATTGAATTTTACACAGGTTGAACTGTCTTTTTAATTTCGCGCCTCTTTAACAGCTCTGTGTACCTCTTGTTGCTTCTTATTAACCTTTATGGTTGTTTTTCTTTTTCTTTGCCTATTGTAGGAGCTTTTTGCTTACCTTTCTTCAGTCATTTTTCATTTTCACAGGAGCTAATATCCAGAAACGTTTCCAGGGATAAAATGTTGAGAATTCTTTATATCTTTGTGTTGTTTTCACACCTACTTTATGTTATTTAAAAAATGTTTTAAATGTCAATGTTAATTTTATTTACATTTTTGATTTATTTATTTAACACATTTTATTTCACGTAAACTTAATTGGTAATGATGACAGATAAAAACATCAAAACCTATTTAGATCTACAACACCTAAAGGCAACACACACACATTGTTTTCATTGTTCTATAACTCATTTGGGCTTTTACATTGCATGTCATAGGTTGGTCTGACTTCGGCGTTCCCTGTATGTTTATATTGTTTGTGTCATTCAAAAAATTAACTGAATATTATGAATTTTGGTATATGTTCATGCAAAATGCCCAAATAATCAATCAATCTAGTAATCAAGCTGTATTTTGCCAAGATAATTGTTTAAAGTAAATTCATATTCATCTTCAAATGCACACAGTGGACTCAGCAAATGGTGATCAGATCATATGTGCATTATTTTTCCTGCTTTTTGTATGTAAAAACATATTTTTGCAAACACACAGCAAATTATACCCATTAAGAGTATAACAGTGTAGAATAATTTATGACATTTATTTTATGTACATAGTACAGATATGAAATACCTTAATGGTAATAACTTGTGCTCAGAGTTTGTGTACTTTATATTTGATGTTTTATTTATTTAGTTTTCATAGTTTTATTTCTTTTATAATAATGTTTGGTCTTTGTCTGGGACCAGGGTCAAGAAGTTTAAGAACAGGTGAAAAAACACCTGACACACTCAGAGATATTCAAATCTAAATAGTAAATAGGGGGAAATATGGCGACAGTGGGAGTTTCAATGTATATTTTTACTTTTATTAAAAAGTAAATGTGTACTTCATGCTGTTTTTACACATATTAGACGAAACTGACTAAACCTAAAACTGGGTGGTTAAGCCTGATGTGGCAGCATGGTTATGTGCTCAAATTGTGGTCATAAATATTTTGTACTTGTAAATCAGAATGCGTATATTTGTGCATCTGTAGATAAGAATTTGTGTGTGCGTAAAAAAGATTTGTGTGTGTAAAAAGAATTTGTGTGTGCGTAAAAAAGATTTGTGTGTGTAAAAATATTTCCCCAATTACAAATTATTTTTGTTAAGGCCTGGTTACAGATACAAAGCAAAAAAATTGTTAGTTAAATTTGTGATTGTCATGACATTGACC